GAATTTATATTGCTCGAGACAATTCGAGAAATTCTCGACGAGAAAATAGCATTCTCGCGTCTCGTCTGAGTGACTTTTCGAGACGAGAATCTCTTGTCTCAACAGCATCACAGTGTTAATCGTTCGTCGGCTGTCATTATCATTAGCTGTCTTTCTTCGTCTCTCGACGTTATATCTTTCTTCTTTCTCTTGTAACGAAATTTGCTGAAACGTGACACGTCTTTCAGAACACTTTCCATTCTCGTCTAAATATCAGACTGTCGTCTAAGAATTTTCACTTCAAGAAATCGAGTTTTCATTTGAATTTTAATTTCAAAATCTTCAAACCTCAATTGCTGGGTAACCGTTGAGCAAATTACGTTGAAATTTTCAGCATTTATAGCTTTTATCAAGCTCTAAATAGTCTGAAATTTAAAATATTCTCAGATTTTCAATTTCTGAGCAAATTGAGTTTGAAGTTTTTGACAAAATTTGGACTAAAAGTTAACTTTGAGGTTCAATTACTCAAAAACTATTTGAGCTATTAAACTCAATTTTACACGGATTTATAGAGAATTTAATTCTCTCTCCAATGATATATAAATTATTTTAATTTGCTCGGAATTTAACATAGATATGGACAATTGTTGATGACCATGTCAAGATTTTGAAAATTTTCCAGAGCCAAAAATAGAATTTTCTTTCAATTATATAAGACAAATTCAAGAGCCTGGAAAAGACAAAAAAATCAGACGAAGAATTGAATTTAAGGCAAATTGGGGAAAAATTTTCAGATAAAAAGACGTAGGTAGTTTATCGATTCCAGGCTCTCATATTTTGTCTATTTTTCTAAATTTTCTTCAAGACGAAAAACAAATTCAAGAGCCTAGACACAGAAAACGCCTGGAATAGACAAAAAATTTAAATGAAAAACTTCAAATTCAAGGCGAATCGGGGAAAAATTTTTAGACAAAAAGACGTAGGTTTTCCATTCCAAGCGTCTATTTTTCCTAATTTTCTTTCAGATGAAAATATAACAAACAAAAAATTCAGACGAAAAAATTGAGAAAATTTAAAACAAATTGGGGAAAAATTTTTAGACAAAAAGACATACATAGTTTTTCTATTCCAGAGCTCACATATTTTGTCTATTTTTCTGAATTTTCTTTTAGACGAAAAGATAAATTCAAAAGCTAGGAATAAACAAAAGATTCAGACAAAAAAATTGACGAAACTTAGAACAAATTGGGGAAAAATTTTTACAAAAAAATGTAGTTTTTTTATTCCAGACTTACATATTTTGTCTATTTTTCTGAATTTTTGTTTTAGACGAAAAGACAAATTCAAGAGCCAGGAATAAATAATAAAAAATTCAGAGAAAAAAAATTGAGAAAATTTAAGGCAAATTAGGGAAAAAATTTTCAGACCAAAAGACGTAGTTTTTTTATTCCAGGCTCTAATATTTTATGTATTTTTTTGAATTTACTTTTAGACAAAAAGACAAATACCCACAAAAGCCTGGAAAAGACAAAAAATTCAGACAAAAAAAAATTGAGAAAATTTAAGACAAATTGGGAAAAAAATTTCAGACAAAAACGCATACATAATTTTTTCATTCCAGGCTCACATATTTTGTCTATTTTTCTGAATTTTCTTTTAGACGAAAAGAAAATAAATAGAAAATTAAGACAAAAAAATTAAGAAAATTTAAGGCAAATTAGAGAAAAACTGGCCGACAAAAAGACGTAGTTTTTTTTATTCCAGGTTCTAATATTTTATGTATTTTTCTGAATTTTCTTTTAGACAAAAAGACAAATACCCACAAGAGCCTGGAATAGACAAAAAATTCAGACAAAAAAATTGAGAAAATTGAAGACAAATTGGGGAAAAATTTTCAGACAAAAACGCATACATACTTTTCTTATTCCAGGCTCACATACTTTGTCTATTTTTCTGAATTTTTGTTTTAGACGAAAAGACAAATTCAAGAGCCAGGAATAAATAATAAAAAATTCAGAGAAAAAAAATTGAGAAAATTTAAGGCAAATTAGGGAAAAATTTTCAGACAAAAAGACGTAGTTTTTTTATTCCAGGCTCTAATATTTTATGTATTTTTTTGAATTTACTTTTAGACAAAAAGACAAATACCCACAAAAGCCTGGAAAAGACAAAAAATTCAGACAAAAAAAAATTGACAAAATTTAAGACAAATTGGGAAAAAAATTTCAGACAAAAACGCATACATAATTTTTTCATTCCAGGCTCACATATTTTGTCTATTTTTCTGAATTTTCTTTTAGACGAAAAGAAAATAAATAGAAAATTAAGACAAAAAAATTAAGAAAATTTAAGGCAAATTAGAGAAAAACTGGCCGACAAAAAGACGTAGTTTTTTTTATTCCAGGCTCTAATATTTTATGTATTTTTCTGAATTTTCTTTTAGACAAAAAGACAAATACCCACAAGAGCCTGGAATAGACAAAAAATTCAGACAAAAAAATTGAGAAAATTGAAGACAAATTGGGGAAAAATTTTCAGACAAAAAGGCATACATACTTTTCTTATTCCAGGCTCACATATTTTGTCTATTTTTCTGAATTTTTGTTTTAGACGAAAAGACAAATTCAAGAGCCAGGAATAAATAATAAAAAATTCAGAGAAAAAAAATTGAGAAAATTTAAGGCAAATTAGGGAAAAAAATTTCAGACCAAAAGACGTAGTTTTTTTATTCCAGGCTCTAATATTTTATGTATTTTTTTGAATTTACTTTTAGACAAAAAGACAAATACCCACAAAAGCCTGGAAAAGACAAAAAATTCAGACAAAAAAAAATTGAGAAAATTTAAGACAAATTGGGAAAAAAATTTCAGACAAAAACGCATACATAATTTTTTCATTCCAGGCTCACATATTTTGTCTATTTTTCTGAATTTTCTTTTGGAAAGAAATTTAAAGAAAATTGGGAAAAAAATTTTAGACATAATGACGTAATTTTTCTATTTTGAATTCTCATATTTTCTGAATTTTCTTTCAGACGAAAAGACAAATTCAAGAGCCTGGAAAAGACGAAAAATTCAAACGAAAAAATTGAGAAAATTTAAGGCAATTTGGGGAAAAATTTTCAGACAAAATAGAACCAAAAATAGCCCTTTGAACTCTAATTTCAAAATATTCAAACCCCAATTGTTCAGTAACCGTTGAGCAAATTGCATTGAAATTTTTAGTATTTGCAGCTCTTATTAAGCTTTAAATGGCACATAATTCACAATATTCCCAGATTTATAGTTTTTGAGCAAATTGAGTTTTGAAGTTTTTGACAAAATTTAGATTAATAGTCAACTTTGAGGCTCAATTTCTCAAAAACTATTCTATTTATCGAACTCAATTTTACACAGATTTATAGAGAATTTAATACTCCTTCCAATGGTATGTAATTTATTTCGATTTACTTGGAATTCAACAAAGTTATGAGCAATTGTTGATGACCATGTCAAGAAAAATTTTGAAAATTTTCCAGAGCGAAAAATAGAATTTTCTTTTTGCTTAAAATAGCTATTTGGAAATGATTTCAGGGTTGTTTTCCACTAATTTTGACCCGCTCTATCGATTGGTAAAATTGAGTAGAACTAAAAAATAAGGAAATCGAGTTTTTCATAAGGGTACCCCCTTTGAATTCTGATTTCAAAATATTCAAACCTCAATTGCTCGGTAACCGTTGAGCAAATTGCATTGAAATTTCCAGCATTTGTAGCTTTTATTGAGCTCTAAATGACCTGTAATTTATAATATTCCTAGACTTATAGTTTTTGAGCAAATTGAGTTTGAAGTTTTTGACAAAATTTGGACTAAAAATCAACTTTGAGGCTCAATTGCTCAAAAAATATTTGAGCTATCAAACTCAATTTTGCACGGATTTATAAAGAATTTAATGGTCTTTATAATAATGTATAATTTATTTTGATTTGCTCGCAATTTAACATAGATATGGGCAATTGTTGATAACCGTGTCAAGATTTTGTAAATTTTTCAGAGCCAAAAATAGGATTTTTTTTTAAATTTTGTTTCTGCTTAAAATAACTATTTGAAATTGATGTCTGGGTTGTTTTCCACTAATTTTGACCCACTCTATCGATTGGTAAAGTCAAAATTGAGCAAAACTGAAAAATAGAAACATCGAGTTTTTCATAAGGGTACCCCCTTTGAATTCTGATTTCAAAATATTTAAAGTTCAATTGCTCGGTAACCGTTGAGCAAATTGCATTGAAATTTCCAGCATTTGTAGCTCTTATTAGGCTCTAAATGGTCTGTAATTTACATTAGTCTCAGATTTATAGTTTTTGAGCAAATTGAATTTGAAGTTTTTGACAAAATTTGGACTAAAAGTCAACTTTGAAGCTCAATTGCTCAAAAACTATTTGAGCTATGAATCTCAATTTTGCACGGATTTATAGAGAATTTAATGCTCTTGACAATAATATATAATTTATTTTGATTTGCTCGCAACATAACAAAGATATGGGCAATTGCTCATGATCATGTCAAGATTTTAAAAATTTTCCAGAGTCAAAAATAAGATTTTCTTTTTATTTTTGTTTCTGCTAAAAATGGCCATATGAAAATGATATCAGGATTTTTTTCCACTAATTTTGACCCGCTCTATCGATTGGTAAAGTCAAAATTGAGCAAAACTAAAAAATAAAGAAATCGAGTTTTTCATGAGTGTATCTACTCCGTTTGAAATCTGATTTCAAAATATTCAAACCTCAATTGCCGTTGAGCAAATTGCATTGAAATTTTCAGCATTTGTAGCTCTTAATAAGCTCTAAACAAAATTTAGACCAAAAGTTAACTTGGAGAAATATAAAAAAATCGAGTTTGATGATTGTCACAAACCAAGGACTATAAGTAAGCCTATTATTGTTAAACGCCGATACCCTTGTGACGTCACTACAGATTCGTGATCTTGGCATCACTATTCATTGTTTATCTTACCCGAATAACAATCCTTTTTTTATTTACAGAAAAGAAATGAAAACAACAATGACAGCTTTCTACTTAAAAATCGTCCTGATTCTCATCGGAATAATGGGCTCAAAAATCACCTTTCCCATTTTGCTGATTTGCTACGTGGCTCTGGGCTATGCTACCAATACCGAGCTAGTTTTCTACGTCATTGGCCTCTTCAAAGAGCTTAGACACTCGGTTGGAATTTCGATTCCGCTCGGTCTAACTCACTCGGCCGAGTTCTACGCTTCTTTGTCCAGAATAAGTAAAATGTTGCACATAGAAGAACACTCTGTAATGGTTCAAGACAGCAACAATAAGGAGCAAAAGGCCAAAATCGATTTCAAAGATGTTACAGTATCAGTTAATAAGGATATTATTCTGAAGAATCTTACTTTTAGTATAACCACTAGTGGTTTGAATATCGTCACTGGTTTAGTAGGCCAAGGCAAAAGTTCCTTGCTCAAAGCCATACTACGAGACTATTCAACAACAAAAGGCTCTATAATAGTCCATGGCTCAATTTCCTACGCCTCCCAAGACCCTTGGCTATTTCCTTCCTCAATAAAGCAAAACATATTGTTCGGACAAGCCTTAAACCACACAAGATATAAAGAAGTTGTTAAAATTTGCTCGTTGGAATACGATTTTGGTTTGTTGCCTCACGGCGATGAAACAATCGTCACAGATGGAGGGATGAATTTAAGTAAAGGCCAACAAGCTAGAGTCAATTTGGCCAGAGCAATCTACAAGGATAGTGATATTTATTTGTTGGACGACAGTTTGGCCGCCTTGGATGTTAAAGTCCAAGAAGACATTTTCAATAATTGCATCAAGAAGTTTTTAGCTGATAAAATTGTATTGTTTGTTTCGCAAAATCCTGAACATTTCAAAAGTGCTTCAAATGTGATTTTATTAAATCGAGGTTCGATAAAATCGATTTCTAAGCCTTCTGAATTATTCACTGAAGATATTCAAGAATTAATAAAAGACAAAACGATTATGAAGGAGGTTTGCAATGAGAAGAAAATGATTGAAATTGAGTTAGATGGAGGATTAGGCAAGAAAAAGAAGATTTATCAAGAAGAGAAAAAAGAAGGCAGCGTCGAGTTTAGTACTTATTTCAAGTATTTCAAATACGGAGGCGGAATGATCATATTTTGCTTGATTATGTCGTTGTATTTGGGTGCCCAATTTACGGAAAGTTACTCGTCTAAACTGATTTCCAAATGGTAAGTAACATTATCTTTTCAGTTAGAAATTATAAGTACCTGTACCACAATCTGGCAACGTCCTTTTATATAAGAAATCTTCAATGACCTCATTGCCAGATTGTACTAAATCCATCAATTTCCAGGGTCGACTATCAGCAACAAGCCTACGACGTCGTACCAGGCAGCAACATAACAACCAAAACCAACGAAACTCTCAGCTACGATCAGGCCGTCGAAAGACGCGACAAAACTTTCAATTTGTACGCCATCTTGATTTTCGCGTCTGCCGTTGCGTCGCTGGTCAAATCCTACACCATTTTACGTTTTTGTAGACGGGCTTCCATCAAAATTCACGAAATTATGTGCCGATGCGTGATTGGATCGCTGATGAGTTTTCTGGATAATCATTTTATTGGAAATATTTTAAATCGGTTTTCGTACGATTTGGACGTCATTGATGAATTGTTTCCGTTTATTTTTAGTGAATTTTTCAGAGTGAGTAGTAGATCTGAAGCTATGGAAGGAATTTGGACTCAAATGGACGATGTTGCCACATTTAATATTAAATAGAGTTTATTTGGAAATCCATTTACCAGCCAATATAGCTTCAGATTCGTTGGCCAAACAATGTTTTGAGTTGTTTATGAATGTTATTTTTATTTTAGAGTTTCATCAGTATCGCAGGTATGCTCATTCTTATAGCGACAGTGAGCTGGATTTTCTTGTTGTTCGCTCTGGGATTTTTCGCCACCCTGTATATTTTGAGGACTCTGTATATTCCAACGGGAAGGGCACTGAAGAGGCTCGAAGCGATGAGTAAGTTGAAGAATTATCTGTCATTTGTCAATTCAGCAACATCAATATACCGTTCCACTACTTATTTATCCTTGTGTTATTTTGTGTATTTCTTCAATATGGGAAATTGAATGAAAATTGGCAACTCCGCAAAATCATGTTTCTACCAATCAATGGCTTCTTTTCAAATTGTTATGTCAAAATGTGGGCGGAGCATGATGAAAATTTTGTATTCTACCGCAGGATCAGAAAGAACACATGAAGGAATATCTGATTCGCTTTTGAATGACCTTGAACCGGGCAACGACGGAAATATCAGGGGCGTACTCGCACTTCCGCCGACCAAAAACATCAAAAATACTGATAAAACTAACTGGTGACTTGCTACCACGGAACATCTTTCCGCCGTTGCCCAAAAAGGCGTGACTTCCTCCGTGACCATCAGACCTTTCTTTCTGTTTTCATTTTAATTGTTATTCTGTCTCATTGTCAGTTTACTCTTTCTTTTTCAGCACGTAGTCCATTGGTGGGCCATCTGAACGCCTCAGTCGAAGGCCTGACAACCATAAGAGCCTACAAAGCAGAAGAAGTACTAAAAGACGAATTCGACAAACATCAAGATTTAGCCAACTCCACATATTACATGGTTATGACCACAACCCGGGCCTTCGGCTACGTCATGGATTTCGCTGGCGCCATGTTCATTGTCTTTATTATATTGGTACTACTGTTTGCTGACACCAGTAAGTAATATTGTCAACTAATCTGCTAATAATAACAATTGTCAAATTTATAGAAATCTCAGTAGGCGATGTAGGTCTGGCTTTGACACAAGTCATGATGTTGACAGGTTACTTACAATGGGCGGTACGTCAATGGGCCGACTTGGAAAACTGTATGACATCAGTGGAGCGTGTATTAGAATACACGGAAATCCAACATGAAGAAGACACCCAACAGGGTGCTATTAATAATTGGCCTAAAGATGGCACGTTGACGTACGACAACGTTACGTTGACTTATGACGGCGAAAGTCAAATTCTAAAAGGCATCAGTTTTAGAGTAAATTCTGGAGAAAAAATCGGCATAGTTGGTAGAACTGGTGCCGGCAAGTCTTCAATTATATCCACCCTATTCAGACTGTACAATTACCAAGGCAAAATTTCCATTGACGGCATCGATATATCTCAAGTATCGATTAATTTTTTGCGTAAAAGTATCTCAATTATACCTCAAGACCCAATAATTTTTGAAGGCTCCGTGCGTGTTAACTTAGACCCATACAAAATCTACTCGGACCAAGAAGTGTGGCAGGTTTTGGAGAAAGTCAAAGTCAAAGATCTCATTCCGACCCTGGACGATGACATAATCAGCTTGAGCTTAAGTACTGGCCAAAAACAATTGCTATCACTGGCCAGGGCCGTACTAAGAAAAAATAAAATTGTCGTTTTGGACGAGGCTACGGCCAACATGGACGAAGAAAGTGACGAGTTGGTGCAAAAATTGATTCGCGATAATTTTTCTGAATGCACTGTGATAATGATTGCTCACAGACTGAGCACGATTTTGGATTGCGATAAGGTGATGGTGATGGATAACGGCAACGTCGCCGAATTCGATAACCCCAGGAATTTGTTGGCGGATAAGAGTAGTTTGTTTTATGCTATGAAGAATCAGGCTAAGGAGAATTCGTGATTTTGTTTGTATTTTATAAATATATTTTTTTGTTGTAAAGAGTTTTTTTTCCTTTAAATGATGCGGCAATGTGCGGACAGTGGGAATTGAGCAGCGACAACTATGCGAACTACTATTTCTATCACGCTTTATTGCATTGCAACTGTGTATTTCCATATCGCTTTTGCCTCCCCCTTCACCTCAGCCGAAACGCTCTTTTTTCAGTTGCCAACCTATACTTTTTATTATTTATTTATTCATCTTATTTTATACATCTTGAAGGATTTTGATAAATTTGGAACTATTCCAGTACCTATAGATGGTAGAATTTCGCGGATGTCCTGGAACCCAGTGTTGTCATTATCACATTTTCATTACTATGAAAATTAGTCGTAATACTGGTCAAATTGTTCTTTGTGAGTTGTAAGGGTTTTCGAGAATGCCCGATTCAATGGTGATATTTGCAATATGTCGCCAAGTTTTCTAGTATCGTATATACTGAGCAATAAGTCGCACGTTTTCCCATGCTATTTTTGAACATATCCTCTTGTGGCAAATCATACCCAAGAATATTAACAAATCGCCAGCAATCCATCGAGGTCTGCGGATGACGTCACTACTATTAGCTGCTAATCGTGGTGATGTCACTCGCAGACCAACTTCCAACTTGAGACTTGGCGAACGTACGCCCACTAGTTTACGATTCTTGGGAATCTGAAAATAAGCCATGTTCCCGTCGCCATATTCTTGCTCATTTTCAATATATGAATATATGAGCAATTGTCGCCACGTAAATCATTTGGTACATTTTGTAGTCTTGCACAATGAGCGATTCCGCGTCTTTTTTTATCCAATGAAGTTTTCGTACTTTATACCTCTTTCTCTAATAAAATAGATAGATGAATTATTTCTATCCGCTTGTCAGTTGCCACTCATATACAAATAGGACTAGACTACTAGACACATAGACTGCTTCAATGAGTCCAATGAAATCACTAATTGTCTCTGGATGATATTTGATTTTGATTTGCTTAATTTAAATACAAGCTAATTCATCTTATTACTTCCTATGTGTCTAGTAGGTTTGGTTTATTTAGAACAATAATAAAACAAAAAATTTGCAAATAAGATATATTTTATTTTAATACAATTTCATCATCTGCTAATTGGTTCTGTCTCTTTCCAAAGCCACCCTTTAACATCCTCCAACCCTTGTCTCTCCAACAAAGGCCCCAAAACAGCCCTACAATGCTCATGATACCCATTCAACTGCTCAATTTCCCCATCAGTCAACATCCCCACATTAATCAGCTTCAGCCCTTTCGGCACCAAAGTGACAGTTTCAAAAGTTAAAAACCCACGATTATTGAAATTATTTGGAGGATTCGCTTCAACTATCAACACAATATCCTCAATTCTCATTCCAAATTTACCATCCTCATAATAGCCTGGTTCATTGGATAAAAACATGTTGGCTTCAAGCCCAGGGTCTTGGTGCATTGGTCTCCAAGAAATCCCCATAGGGCCTTCGTGGACGTTTAAATAATGTCCAATACCGTGCCCGGTACCATGGGCATAATCAAGTCCTACATCCCATAAAAATTGCCTAGCAAACGAGTCTAAATGATTTCCTTTGATTTTAGTAGGAAATATTCTTGAGCCTAATTGAAGCTGGCCTTTTAATACTCTAGTGTAGCAATCTTTTTCGTGTTCGGTTGGAGTACCAAAGTGCCAGGTGCGTGTTACATCAGTAGTACCGTCCCTAAATTGAGCCCCGGAATCGCACAAATATAATTCGTTTGTTGTTATTGGCACATTGGTGCTTTCTTGAGGGTGATAGTGGATTATGGCACCGTGAGCTCCTACGGAGCTAATGGTTGCGAAACTGTCGCCCATAAAATCAGGCTGCAATTTTCTAAATTCATGTAATTTATTGGCTCCAGATATTTCGGTGATGGCGCCACTGGATACATTAGTTTCCAGCCAGTGGAAGTAAGTGCACAAAGCAATTGCGTCTTTTATATGAGCATTTCTCATGCCTGCAATTTCTGTAGGGTTTTTTACAGCCTTCATTAGTTCTACTGGAGTAGTACCGGTTAACAATAAGTGTTTTTTTGGGATTATGCTTGTTAGGGCATAGCTGGAATGCTCGCTGAACCATACAAAGCCATTTAAGTCTAAGCAAATGTCTTTTAAGGCTTCATCTATGCGGCTATAAGGCTCTATGCTTACTACATCACCTGCTTCTTTTTTCAAATGCTCTCTAACTTCATCAGAGGCTTGCCTTGGATCAATAAATAAAGTAAAAGTACCATTGGCACTTACAATGATATAAGAGAAAAACACTGGATTATATTCAATGTCTGAGCCTCTCAAATTTAAGAACCAAGCAATTTGATCCAAGGCAGTCAAAACCAAAAAATCAGCCTTCTTATCCTTCATTGCCTCAACAACTTCCTGTAGCTTAAGTTTGACCGTGCATCCGGTAAAGTTTAAAGGCAAAGGCTTTACAGGATTCAAAGGTCTTTTGGGTCTTTCAGTCCACACAAGCTCAACCAAATTTTGTTTGACCGGCACGAGTTTGTGACCTCCGGTTTCCAGTTCCTTTTGCAAAGGGCGGAACTGGTCGCAGCTCATCAGTTTCGGATCAACGCCTACGAAGGAGTTGGACGGTAGAGTTTTGACCAACCATTGACCTGGAATAATTTGTAATTGAATTTGAGTTACGGGTTACCGGTTTTCACAACTTTTTGAAGTGAATACATCTCTGGTTGAACATGAAAGTGATATTTCATGGCGTATGAAATTTTTGTCTCGCAAGAGAAACAAAAATATATGATTGTAATGAAAAAAAGAATGAGATTAATAATTGAACAAAGAGCTTGAGGGCCAATGAGCTCTTTTCCTAAAACTTAAGCATATAATTTTGGACCTTAAAACACGCCAAACAATGATGTATTGGTTGCCGTTAGTACAAGGTTTGATTGCGCGGTTACCAGTTGTGACTAAATGTAGTGCGCCATGAGAAAAAAAATATGGTGTGTGCTTAAAACTACATGACAAAATTTCAAAAAACAAAATGATTTAAAATGTATTGTCTGTCATTTTTAATCTGACTCTTTCCGTATGAGGAGCGAGGAGGTGAAGCATATGGCAAAAACAGGTGTGACGCCAGGTGCCCATAAGCGTAGGAAGTCACCAGCTCACATTCCTTTGGAGTATCAGAATAAAATCAATAGACTGTAAATACCACAAGTGCTTGACCATTACCGTCATATTGTGTCCTGGCATTTTGTAATTTCGATCAAGGTTTTTTTTAAAGAGAGAGGTTGCTTAATAACTTTTATGACGTCTTCTGGATTCCTAATTCCTGAACATAATGCAAATCTCTATAAGAACCACCTGATGACGTCATCAGTTTACTATTACCAGACAATCTTTTACGAGCAATTTATTTTGCAATTGCAACTGCATTTGACTTTTGCCACCATATTGAATCCTGGCATTTGTAGTTTGGATAAAGATTATGAAGAAGAAGGTTAGGCCTGGTAACTTTTGTGACGTCATTTGGGGTTTCTCAGACTCAGCATAATGCAAATTGCCATAAGGCACCACAGATAGTGTAATCAAATTGCTCCTTACCAGGCAACGCTTCAACTTTAGGAATTTTGGTTCGGGTTAGTTGGGTTTTTTAAAAGAGGGATGTTGCCCGATGACTTTTATGACGTCATCTGTCGGCCTAAACATAATACAAAGCTCCATAAAAACCACCTGCTGACAAACAATTAAAATTTTACCAATGATATCGGCAACGTCGCCGAAATTTGTTTTACAGGAAATTTAGATTGATTCTATTCTCAGGTAAACTGCGAGTAGATGTTTTAAAACTACTGTATTGTTTTTTTATCCTTGTTCTTCTTATCAAAAGGAAAAAGGATGGAAGATGCTCCGAGCACTCCGGGCGCCTAAAGAAGTTTTCACTTCAAAAAATAGACAAAAAATTGAGTTGGAAAAATTCAAAACGCGCCAGACGATGACTTATATAACCAATCGAATTTAGGAAGAGCACTGTTGCCAACTGTGACCAAATGTATTAGGTATGTAATGAAGAAAAAATAAACAAAAATTGAGTTGGAAAAATAACTAATTTAAGAGGAGAAAAGAAATAAAAATTAAGAAAAAATTGCTAGATAAGTGGAAATTAATGGGAAAACTTGAACAATAGAGAGGAGAATTATAAGAAAAAACTTCATGATACGAACATTTGACAATACCGCCATTTACTTCTATGTAACTGGCCGTGTAATGACGTCATAAAAACCAAAAAATAACCGTTTTCGTGCGAATTTCAATTTTTCGGATTTAATTTACAAATACATTATGTATCAATAATACTAAATCCTTATAGGATTTTTTTTTTAAACTATTACGAAATGTTCAATGCTGACGATTAGTGGCAACACTGTCAAAGTCGAAATGCAAGTTGTGTGACGTAGGAATGATAAAGTTTGTGCAGTGTTGCCAACAGTTCTATAACAAAAAATCTCATTTTTTTTTTGATGCACGAGTGATTTTTCAAGGCCGCATCACGCAACAAAGACAAAATATATGATTATAATGAGAATGAATGAAATAATAAATCAAATTAACAAAAAGAATACCCTCGTTTCATTCAACTACAGATTTGTGACGTCACTACAGATACTTATTTATCGTTTGATTAAGAATGAAGGAATCAATGTTGCCCGGATTGAGATTGTAATAAGAAATAGGAAAACAGATAATGAAACACGGTACTCTTTCTCTCTCTCTTGGAATCGTTGAAAAAGTATTCTTCTTTTTTCTCTTACACACAACTTTTAAATTTTTTCTAGTTGAATTTCAGCTTTGGTGTACTTTTTGAAAATTCAAATTTACAGTTGGCAACATTGTCGCTTTTGTACTAAGGGCGGGTATTATAAAACTATTTTGACAGATAGCAAAAAGTTAACTTCTGAAATTACTATGGGAAGAAACGTCATTTCAGAAGTTAATTTTTAAGTTAACTGTGAAAATAGTTTTATAATACCCACCCTGATTGAATTAGGCATTTTCTTTACCTTTGTCATGAGGAATCCCTGTTCAGTGTTGCCAACTCAATTCGCAATTTTGGGAAAAACAGTGTTGCCCAAATTAAAACTGGAAAATATTGATTCTAGAAATTTATTGACATCAAAAGTATGACTAATTATTGATTTTGTCAAATATACAATTGGCAACATTGTCACTTTTGTGCTAATGTTATTTTTATTGAATTAAGCATATTTTTGTCTCTCTTCACAGGACATCCCCGTTCAGTGTTACCAACTTAATTAACAATTTTGGGACCAAATTGAAACTGGAAAATATTGATTCTAGAAATCTATTGACATTAAAAGTATGACTAATGCCCGATTGTACCGTCTCTCTTGACCGAGGTTTAACGATAACTATTCCTTAAAGTGACATTTTCCCATGCAAAACTGTCAATTTAAGGGAAAGTTATCGTTAAGCATCAGTTAATAGAGACGGTGCAATCGGGTATAATTGATTTTGTCACATATACAATTGGCAACATTGTCGCTTTTGTACTAATATTATTTTTATTGAATTAAAGATTTCCTCCAGTCCGTGGTTATGGGGAATTCCCGTTCACTTGTGCCAACTTAATAAGCAATTTTGGGAAAAACAATGTTGCCAAATTAAAACTGGAAAATATGATTTCAAGAATTTATTGATATTTTTAAAGTATGACCAACTCATTTCATCAAATTTACAGTTGGCAACATTGTAGCTTTTGTACTATTTGATTGAAATAAGTAATAGGGAATTAATCATTTTAGCCGTATTCGGAATAATCATCTTTTTTGTCAATTTGCTTCGAAATTCTGATAGGCATGTGATTTGTAAATTGAAACTGTCTAATCCAGTCACGTGCCTGTCAAAATTTTGGAGCAAATCGCTGTGGCAACTGGCAACGTGGCAACTCTGTCAAAATGGAAGTTGTGATGTAGGAATGTGTTTCTATTTCAGGTGGGTTCAACTTGATCACTCCGTGCACTCCGAGTGACTCCATTTGCACTCCAGCCGTTTGGGTTAAGGTTTGATTTTTACCATATTGGGGTGACTCCATTAGCTCTGTTCTTACTCCACTCCAACAACGCGCTGAATAGCCAAATCCAGCCAAAAGAATGTTTTTCAACACCCAGGTTGAGCATAACTCCAGGTAAACATTGTCTGGACATCACGTTCAACCTGGAGTTAAAACCAACCCAAAGTGACTCGCTATTGAGAAACTAGCCCTTATTTTCTACAGAATTAGAACAGTCAAAGTAGTTTCAAAACTTGAACAGATCGAAAAGAGTTAGTGCAGTCAGGGTAGAATAGAAACAGAAAATTAATTTTAATCTTCCCCTTATTGTTATAGTAGGCAATTTGTTGTGAAGATAATCATAAGCATGATACACACTACTACTACAGGATACAGGATAGCTTATCCTTATAAGGCCCGTGTGGAACAAATTCTACCCTCCCCCCCCCCCCACCTGCTAAATCACCAGTTGTGACGTAGGCAGTATGTTATTTCTCACTTTGATTTAGGCTGTTTAAGCAGCTGACGACTTAGACGTCGGAAATGGTGACACAGCAATATGGCAGCGATTACCAAACATGAAGCCAATAAGCAATCCTGTAGGTGTGTATGTATCATCCTTGGAATAATCAAGCACTGATTATGCTGGGTTATGTGATATGTCAATAGTGTCATACTCCGCTGATTCCCTCCCTATCAATTTTGGGCTTGCGAGTGATGTCACTTATCAGCAGTACAGTGACTCTATTACCCACAGTGGCGACAATTGCTGTCTTTTTTTTGATTGGTTCTAAAATCCCATATATTTATATTGAGAACGCGGCCATCTTGTTCCCATCTATTGCTTATTTCAAATATGAATATATGGGATTTGGGTGAACATCCATCATAAAACATGGAAACAACGTATTTGATGGACCTAATAATAGTCATCAATTACGTCGCTTTCAATTTTTTATGAAAGATGTCCATTTAAAACCTATAAATTCATATTTAAAAGTAACATGAGGTTGGGAACAAAATGGCGGCGGGACCTCTATTGTCGCCACTCTATGTAAAGGTTTATTTAGCCACTGTAATCAGCAGCTTATGGTGATGACGTCACCCGTAGACGTTGATGGAATGCTCGCGATTCAGGCTGTACTAGTGAGTTAATTTTATCGTCGATTTTAAAATGTAGAAAAACTGATTTTTGGTTTGTTCTCACAGAAAAAATTAATGGCCGTTTGCACCAAGGGAGGTTTGTTTAACGTTAATAAACGTTTAAAGTGACATCTTTACATGTAAAAATGTCATTTTTACATGTAAAAATGTTACTTTAAACATTGATTAGTGTTGTGGTTTCCAACATTTATTTATTTTTCAAGAGTAGAATCTGTGGTAGAATGCTGCCAATGCCGTGCTAATTCTTGTTCGTAAATCCAGGTTCAAGGAAACACGATGGTTTGATTATGAAAAGTGTTTTTATTTTAATTTGAACGAAAAACGACTATTTACAACTATTTACAGAAAACAGGTAACAAATTCTGAAGAACATTGCATATTTAAATAAGTATATGGAACGTTCACTTTAACGCAAATAATTGGTTAATTAACAGCAATTAAACAATAGAAAACTGAAGAGAAAGAAAAGGTTGATTTCAGGCGCACGATCGGGCCATTTGGAGAAAAGAAAAAAGCGGTACAAAACAACCCTTGCAATTCGTTACGATCTCTGACTAGAAGTGAGAACTCAAGGCAAACAAAAACTTCGACTTCCTAGGTACTCTCCACCTCCAGTCTTGACCTACTTTTGCGATGCGTTTGGGCATACGCACCTTCCCTTGAAAATCGGGTAGAAACGTAGAAACAGAAGATTATAGTAGGAATAAAAATAAAATATAAAGAAATTTAACTTTAAATACAGCGGCGGCGGCAGCGGGTTGAAATGAAATTTCAACAATTAGTGTTAAACTTCCCTTAAAATGGTTGGTGCAAACATTGCAAACGGCCATAAGGGTTTTTGATCATCGAGTATCCCAGAATTTGATAGTGAGGGAGTTAGGAGTATGTTTGACACATCACATAATCCAGCATAAATGATTATGCTTGATTATCCTCACAAAAAATAGCACAATAATTACATGCCATTGTGCCAATTTTGAAAATAAGTGAGAGCCCATTGTGCGACAGTGTTGCCAACCATTTTTTGTATTATGACAGATTCTCTTTTCACCCATGATTCACAAGAGTGATAAGGATAAATATATGATTGCAATGATAATGAATGAAATAATAAATTAAACTAAGATGTGTGACGTCACTGCAGATGCTTATCTGAAGCTAGATTCTTATATAGGCGACTTTTTAGTTTTTTCTAGCTAATGTTATAAATAAAACGCAATTCTTTCAATATGTAATTTTAACAAAAAGTTGAAAAATAACACTTTCTAGTCATAAGAAATTCTTACCTGTTTTTGGTGTATTGGGATCCCCTTCTCGCATCAAAGTCCAATTCCCATCCATCTGTTCCGTGGCCTGCAAATAGTACCGGCCGTCGGTCCACATACAAGCCTCCCGGGCGGTAACTATAGCAGTACCGGCGGAACCATCAAAACCCGATACAAAGCCCCTTAATTTATCACAGTCAGCCAAATATTCACTGTTGTGAGAATCCGCTGAAGGCACAATGTAGGCAGCCAGAGGCTCCGGAGTGTGGACTTTGGACAGCATCAGAGCCCTAAGCTGTTTCAATAGGGCTGTTGTCGATTTGGGGCCCGGCATAATTAGACTTGACAATAAAATATTATTGAATTTCTAATATTGGAAAATGACACGTACTTACCTTTGTGGTGATTTTATTTAAACAAAAAAAAAAAAAAGAGGATTATTTGATTTTAGTAATCACAAGAGTGCATTATCTTATCTTGATTTTGATTAATAAAAAATTATTAAAAAAATAGAAATTATTTTGGTTTTGACAAGGCAAAGGCAGGTAAATTTGAGGTTATGTTTATGTATACAGATGGTCGCCATATTGGGCGCTTTCTTTTATTTAGCGATGACAAGTCTATCTTTGTCTAGTTCATAGAAAATCGGGATGGCTGTCTCATAATGCTGTCAGTAGATGGATACATTACTGAATAAAAGATTACGTCCATTGTTTCGATTTTAATAGCGATATCCATTTGTAAAATCAACGCAAAATAAAGTATCCTTATCCTTATATTTTACATGCTTTTAGAAAAAGATGTGGATACATTCAGTGCGCACTAATTTACAAATAGCCTCCCATCGACAAAAAAAAAAAACTGGCAACACTGTCCTAAATTGTCACTGTCAAGTGTCAAGAAAACATTTTATAAACAAAAATGTATAAAACACAAAAATAATCTAATTAAATTTTCACTTTTTCCAATAAAATCCAATTAATAATGGATTGAAAAAAACAATGAAGAATTCGAAGTCGGTATCGGTGCAAGTGCTCGACAGCGACATCGCCCTACTGTTGCCCAATGGTGTCTACGAAATCAAGCAAATGGATTCAAAGTCCTCGTCTTCCAACAGATTGAAGCAAATTTGCCTTTTTTGTTTGGCCCTTTGCCTGTTTGGAATCTTTGGTTTTGGATATTTTTGTCCAGAGAAGGTAACTAATAATTAGTCAAGGCTGTCTTAAAAAAACCAACCTAATATTGTAGAAATTAATAATCAAAAATTGCATATTATTATTATTTATATTATCTCTAAATTAATCAAAATATCTTTATCTAATTTGACCTAATTTATTGCTCCTTTTAAGCCCGGTTTATTCATCTTTGGATAAACTTGCTTCTAACTATCTAGGAGATAAATTTACCAATTCATAATCCTATTGGTCAATGGATAACGAAGGTGTAAACAAACTGGCCCTTAAACTTAAACAGACAAAACTAGTACATAAATTTGTTTGTGCAAAATCTATTTTTAAACCCGAATTATCTATAAAACAGCTCCAATTTTTCAATCAACTTTTTGCTAGAGAGATAAAAGCATAAAAGTATACAGCATGTTTTCATTAATTAATATTTCTCAATTATTATTATTATTTGTGGTAATTAATTAATTAGATTTTCCAATTATTGGCAAATCAATAATAAGTTTTTCTTCTGTGTTTTAGGTCTGTGCACTATCTTCGAAAGACCTGCCGCCTTCGATAAAAGACAGCTTGGGCAAACCGTTGCTATTGGAAAGCAACAAAATAGGGCTGAGCTATGACGACATGTTAAATGACGATTTCGCTTTTGATATGGACTCACATGATGTCATGGTGTTTTTGCACATGCAAAAAACAGGTAAGAATTTTTGTCTAGAGTCTGGGCTGCTGGGACTCTGTAATTGATAAAGATTGTTATTTTCTTCGTTATGACAGTTGCTGTCTTTTTTTCTCATATTTAAATTATTAAAGAGGGAACAATAAGGATAGAAATATTCATTACACAGACCCAGTCCAAGTCTATACTTTAGAAAAAGTTAAGATCAAGGGATTTTTCACCTAACAAAATTTGTATACCGATTAACAGTACTAACTGAAATTTTTCTACAAAATATTTCCACATATTGTCATCAGGTATTTCTCTAGTATTATCACATATTACCAGGTATTGCCATGCTATTGACAGACTAAAATCAAATATTTGTCTTGCCAGAATTCTAGGTATTGACATATCCATAGGTATTTGCATGTTATTATTGGGTATCAACCAATGGCATAACATACATATATTGCATTGCCTAGATATCTATAAGTATTGACATATATTTCCTACATAATTAATAAGTAGGTATTGTACCGGGTGTCCCACTAAGGTCGGCCAGGTACGATATTATGGAGACCATAGACCTTAAGGAACTTGAAAACGAATGCAGATATTGAATTGTGGTTTGTGCCAAAATGTAGATATTTTTTTGCTCTTTAAGCACAGCAATACAAAAATAATATTATGCCATTTGGATTTTTCATGAAAATTAGAAAAAAATGGATCTTGAATAAATAGCGCCCTCTAGAAGACGCAGTGGGAACTATCGACCTCGAACGAAGAGGTGTTCTTAATAAAAATGAAATTCTCTTCCAAATAAACCCAAATTGAATGAGTTTGAATGAGGGGTATGGAAGATACAGCAATTTCTAAAAAAAAAAATTCACCAGCTTCCCCCACCCTTATTACTGAAGATACGGAAAAAAGCCTAATAACCAAACTGGCGCAAAAATTAATGAACTTTTGATTTCTAATGCTAAAACAGTATCTTAATATAGCGATTTCTTGAGAAAAGTTGAATTTTTAGCTATATCATCGTAATTGCGCCCCCTAGCGGTCATCCTAGAAACTTGAAAATAATTTCCATCAATTTCTCTTGGCCGATTTAGTGAAGAAAAAAAAAATCCCGAAGCCGTAAGGTCTATGGTTTCCATAATATCGTACCTGGCCGACCTTAGTGGGACACCTGGTACCTATAGTATTGACATAGTATTTACCTGGTATTGTCATATATTAACCAGTAATTTGTACACCAATTAACAAGGTGAAAAACCCCTTGGTTAAAATGTAGTTATTTCAAAGACAATATAAATAATGCATTTTATTCAAATTACCTTCTCCTCACTTATAAATTCTGTGAGAGTATATTAGGAAATTATTATGCTACTTGTTGTGTATTGGTATTTTGATTATGCACAATCATAAAGAGAATATTCATGAATTTACTACGACATGTTAAAATTTATGTGACTCTTTTTAAGTAGTATTTTATAATACTTCTATGACATCTGACAATGTTTTTTAAATACGTATTTTTGCTGCTCTATTGTGATGTACCATACATACAAGTTTTGGCCAATGAGAAATTCAAATAGAGTCGCTTTGGGCGCTGTTGCCAGACTGCTTTCAAATTAAATAAATGCTCCTAATACTGGGTTTGTCACTATAAAAAAAGTGTAAGTCGAGGTGTAAGTAAAATTTGGTTATTCTAACCCAAGGGATCAACACCTGATTGGAAATTTGAACATCTACTATATCCTGGACTCTGGAGATAGTATTTTTGCAAAAATTCCAAAGTTGATTTGTCAAGAATTTCACAAAGATTTTTTAAAAAATTCATAATTCTATTTCTGAGGCTCAGATTGACTTCAGATCTGTTGTGTTTGAATGAAGAAAATATTTTAATTATGAATTCCTGAAAGTTTCAAGTTGCTCAGATTCTTGGAAGTATTTTTGAAAACATTCCAAAGTTGATTTGTTAGGAATTTCACAAGGATTTTTTAAAACATTCATAATGTTAAGTTAAGTGTTAAGTGTTTCAAGGGATTTTTTAAAAAATTCATAATTCTATTTCTGAGGATCATATTGACTTCAGATTGTTGTGTTTGAAGAAAAGACCGAGGGGTGTTTCACGCTCTTAAATTTTGAACAGCTATTTCCTTTTTGGAACTGTTTTCCTGATATTGTTCATAATTTCCGAAATTTCCTGAATATTCAGAATTTTTTTCAAGTATTTCCTATAATTTCTAAAATTTCCTGAATAATTTCCTAAATTTCCCGAATATTTACTGATTTCCTATGAAATTTCTAACATTTCTGAAAAAAAAAAATTGATAATTTTCAAAATTTTTGAGAAATTTTTCATTTCTCTCCAAAATTTCCGAATATCTCCACAATATGTACAGTTTTCTAAAAATGAAAATTTTTTTGCTGAAATATGTACCATCGTCACCAAAAGTAACTGGGACAGCATTATATTAGCTCTTGTCCTATTATATGAATTTTATTGTCAAATATTTGTCAAACTACGAACTGAATGGATTGAAATGAATGACAGTAGAATTAGTCCAGGAGATTATTATGCATTATTTGTGTCCCAGATACTTTTGGTGACGATGGTACATACATGGTAGTGACGAATGTTGAAAGTAAACCTTCAACTGTTTTACTCTTCAATTGTCAATTGTCAGTCTAGAAGGCATCAAATGGATTAGAAATGGTATTTTCTCTAATCAAATTGTACCTGATGGAATTCTATACTCGATTCTAAATTTGAAACCTCAATAAATGATTTTGCAAAGTTTGGAGTGACCGTGGAAGCGTTTGGAAAAACAGTTGAAAATTATATTTTTTTATGACCCCTTGACCATAATGGGGATATTTAGTGTTTTTTTTTTAAATTCATTTTTCTAGTTCTAGAACTAGAACACAAACTAAGTCTATTAACACTATTTTGGAGAACATTTGAGTTGCCGTTAATTTTTAATAAAAAATATAAATTCAGCAGCATTTCAAACCCCGCAGAAAACCCGCCAAATATTACGTTAGTACCTACAACTAGCAAAAATATACTGCAAATAAGTACCTATGATAAGTACGTTGTCAGATTGTCGTTGTCATTGTTGATTTCCAAGATTGCTGCTAGAAATCTTGTTTTTATCCTTGCATTATATGTATAGTTTTTGTTAAATATTTTGGACTACAGTTATAAAATAAATGTAATTTTTTAATTGTTAGTAGGTTTAGTTGTAGAACAACGGTTTTTCTAGTGTTCAAAAAGGATCTATGCTACATTATTTTAGTATTAAGGAATCACGACATTCAGTTTGGCAACATTGCACTGTCTAACGTCAAGAATGTTATGTTGACCAGCGTTAAACGAACAAGATGCAAATAACGAATGAGGAGTTTCATCATTGTCACTTTTTAGAGCTTAGACAAGGAAGCAGGGTTGCATTGATTTAAATCACCTAATTTAAATCAGTGATAAAAATCGCGATTTTAATCAAATTATTATTATGTTTTAATCGCATGATTTAAATCGCGTTTTTGTAATTTGGTGATTTATAAAAAATATCAGTAAACATTAAGGATTTTTTAGCGATTAAGTGAAATTAGGACTTTTCAGAAACGCTTATGATTACCAGCTGTTTGTTTTTTGTCTTTCTTTAATGAACATGATTGAAAAAAGACATAGTACATCAGCTGGTGATCCGGTTAATAAAATCAGCGATTCTGAAAAGGCCTAATTTCAGCTTCCGTTTATAACACGGTTACAAACGGTTAGTTGCTAAAAAATCCTTATTAAATCAAAATACAACTAATTGAATTTATCTACGCTACTGACAAATGGGATAAATTAAATTTATCTATATCTACACAATTAACACTAAGCTGGATTTATAGTGTCAGTATCAGTAACAGTAACTTAAAACTTAAGAACAGATATGAAAATAACCATTTTTTAAGTTTTACTGATAAGTTTGTTGTTAAGTGAATTTTAAATGGCTTTACGGTCGGCCGTGTTTTAATATTCTACTGTTACTGCTACTGTTACTGATACTGACACTATAAATCCAGCTACGTGACACCGTCGGACCTTGGGTGAGCAGCGAACATGTGGTAATCAGCTGTTAACAGCCAGTGGCATTCTTAGCACAGGCCGCATCATACCTTTATCTTTATCTTTCTTTTGTCCCTAAAAAGGATGGACATACACTCGGTTGCTGCACCAGTTTAATTATACGAAAATGCTATTTGATTGGATCTTCCTGGGAATCCCTCTAATCATCGTCTGTCGTTAATTAATAAAAAGTAAGGATGTCTAGCAGGAAGAAAGACAACATAATTTTGTGTTTAGTTTAGGGTGTTGTTGTATGATAAATAAAATCTAAAATAGAATCTCGAATAGATCTAAATAAAACGTTTTTTATTTAAATCGAAAAAATCTGATTTAAATCAAAAAAATCTGCAACCTTGCAAGGAAGTCATTGTGAACGATTCTTATTGGCAGGAATGTGTATAAACGTCATACAATGGCGCCATTCCAGTACGTTTAAATATGTGAGATGAAAACAGCATTTTTGAAAATTATTTTAAAAAAAAATTAGGATATTTTAAACCCAACTGGAAGTAAGGGTATTTTGATTTTGGTTAATACAACTGATAAAAAATAATAAAACAATGACATTCAAATATGGTGCAAGTTCCCATTCGCCAAAACTTTTATAACGTCATCTGGGGTGCCCCAATATAATGCAAATCTTTATAAGGCATCCCAGGTGACGTCATCAAATTACCCCTTACCAGACAACCTTTTAACTTTTAGGAACCTTAAGGACATATAAAGTTGTTAAGTTAGGTGACACACTGGAGAAATAAGTTTCTTGAAACTTGTTGCTTTTCTTGGGGTTTCCTCTTGACGAAAGTTTTCATATATGCTTTCCAAAGTATGCTGTACACTTGAATCTGTATTTCCTTCAAAAATCGTATCAGTTTTGGTAGGTACCTTCTCTTTTTATTTGCTCCTTGCTTCC